CACACACACACACACACACACACTCACATTCCCAAACCACCGACCTTATCCTGCATGTTTGGACGTCTGTGTGTTCCGACAACGTCCTTGATCTCCGCGTAGATCACTTCCTGTTCCTCGGGCCTGTGCAGCATGTGTAACATAAAGAACAACACAGTATTTCCACTAGTCTCCGAACCCGCGCCAAACAAATTGTTGATGATAGCCGACAAGTTATTCTCGTCAAGCCTCGTATTCTCCCTTCGAGCCTCTCTCGCTTTTTTCTCCTTGAAATACTCGTAGATAAAGTTAACTCTCTCTGTTGAGTCCTCTGAATCTGTGTTGGTTTTCTCTGATTCTTCCACTTTCTTTCTCTCTCTTGTGATGAAACGCATCAGCATACTTTTCAACTCTGAAGCGAGTTTTTTAAGGACGTTCGCTTCAAAGGGGTCTCCTGGAAGGTACCGTAACAGTCTAAAGTGGTTCAGCACGCTCGTGCCCGCGATCCTCGCGATCAGATTGTTCAGGAGACGGAGAAAATGTCCAAACTGTGGGTCTCCGTGCTCATAGCGCTGGCCAATGATGATGGAGTTGAGGACGTTAGCGACACTTGTATGAACCAGAAGCTTCACGTCGCACGGCTGACCTCTGAACTTGGCCAGTTCGTTGATGAACACTTCTACTTCTTCGTCTATTTTTTGAGCAATGACGTTTCTGCCCATGCCAAAAGCTCGAAGAATTGAGAGGGACAATGTCCTTTGTTCTTTCCAGTTGGCGCCGTAGGAGTTGATGATTCCTAGACCGTAGTCTCCGTGAAGTCGCATCAAGAACGTCTCAGGCCGGGCCAGTTTGTCCGCCTTTTTCACAAGAAGGTCTTTCAAAGACTCGAACCCGTTCACTACGACCATGTGGCGACCGGCAAAATCGAGACTGAACACGTCTCCGGTTTTCTGGCGCCATTTCTGCAGTTGTTCCAACGGCTGTTTGGTCAGCATGAATAGATGACCACATAAAGGCCAAGGCCGAATGGGGTATGGCGGGACGTTTCTACTGCTGAAGCGTTGGACACATGTAGACCAGTAAAGTAGGTACATCCCCAGGCCAACTACAACCGTGATCAGTAAGGTCAGGGGGTCAAGATGTGACGTTAGGGCTCCTATGATGGTCATGGTTCTGCGTTGACGATTACCAAGAAATAAATGCTCTCTCGAATCAGATTCCTGTAGATGCCATGACGATGATGAGAAAGTTATTGTTAGACCTACTTATTCGAAAAGCCTGACATCTCTCCTCCATTTATGCGTCTCTCTTCTATCCATGCGTCTCTATCTGTCTGTCTGTCTGTCTGTCTGTCTGTCTGTCTGTCTGTCTGTCTGTCTGTCTGTCTGTCTGTCTGTCTGTCTGTCTCTCTCTACCTC